TCTCTCTCTCTCTCTCTCTCTCTCTCTCTCTCTCTCTCCCCCTCCCATCCACAGCATCGTGACATGAACCAGTGGCTTCAGGTGGAGCTGCTCCAAATCAAGAAGATCACAGGTATCATAACACAAGGAGCCAAGTCTCTGGGGAAAGAGATGTATGTCATGTCCTACACTCTGCAGTACAGCAACAATGGCATTCACTGGAGGCAGTACACAGATGATGACAGCGTCCCTTTCAAGGTGAACGGTGGCAAAATCACATGGAAACTGTAATTAAATGAACCAGTTCACCGGGTGACTGGAGTTACATTTGACAGTAATGGTGAAGAGTTTCTAAACTATGTCTTCCTCTCTCTCGCCAAATCCAGACTTTCTTGGGAAATACAAATAACAACGACCACGTGAAGAACTACATCTACCCTCCTATTTTCTCCCGCTTCATCCGAATCATCCCCAGAAGCTGGCAGAACTCCATCACCATGAGAATAGAACTACTGGGCTGTGAATTTGAGTGACACACACACTGGTACACACAGATACATGCATACCAAATGATGAAGGGTCAAATCAACCATGCACATGTACATGTAAGTAAAAACACACATGTAGTGTACGCCCAGACATTTACTACACATCCATTCCCACACATAGGAACATGTATAGAGGATACTACATGCATACATAGTATATCACAGCCCTCGTGTGCAGCAAAAAACAAGAACATAAGTGCATCTACTTCTCAAGCCAAAACTCATACCATGTGCAAAGTGCAAAGTGTTTTATTAAAGCAAATATATGCCTAGTTAAAATCAAATATAAAACTCATTGGTAAGTGAAATACGTATGAATAATCTTAACCCTTTTGTCAATAGTTTTATGTATTTTCTAATTACTAGTTGTATTCTAAGCTGTTCTGTGGCATTTTCTCCCTCACAAATGACAACGAATGAATGTAAATATGTAAGTAGAGATCATGTAATTTATTTTTTAACAAATATGATTACTATTCTTACTTTTCGGTGTCCTACTTTGTGAGGCATGAAGACATAAATGAGTGGATTCTGTTTGACTTGATGTCCCACTTACGAGTAACACCGATATCTTCTCGTGGTGTCTCGAAGGTGTCACTTTCGGCACCTCCGCTGATGCCAGGCCCCTCGTTAAGCAGCAGCTAAGGGCCTCCAGAGTCAACAGACACGTGCAGCTGCAAACACATGGCATGTTTACCCATTTGCTGATCGTGTTAAAGTGGGCACCGGAGGTGTGAAAGTCTCAGCATGGCCGTCGTGCATGCTACTGATGTGTGAAGACAAATGAACTCACAGAGATCTTTACTGGACAACTGGCTGTCCGGGGCTCTGGGGAAACTGTCGACCCACGTCTGAGAAACAAGTGACCTATGTAGTTAAACATAAGACAAACAATATGGTGCAGAAGTTCAGGGAAAGACTGGTGAGGACTTTCTCGGGATGAAGAAAGTTCTTGTTAGAACGCACCTGATGGGAGAGGAAAGGACATGCTGTAAATATAGGCTCTCTGACCGCTTTAACCATGAAAGTTGCAAAACATTCAGCATGAATAAACCAAAGTTCAAAACATCCGATTGATTGCAGTTGTGACAGCACACCACCAGATGTCGCTCCAGCTTCATCTTTGCTGAAGATCAGCCCTGGACAAAATATTTTCATGTCTGCGTGATAAAGTTTTGTGTGATTGACCTCCACCTGGTAACATCAGTGGAGATCACGTACAGATCCAAATGACTTCAGACCTTCAAGGTCCGGTCTGAGTACAGTGCAGTTCTTAGATTATGAGTTTTAAAAAATGTGGCATGTAACCTAAATATAAATACAAATATTGTGCTTTTAAAATATATGAACTTACTTATAATTGCATTCAAAGGCTCATACATCTTAAGATAATAAAAGCATGTGAACTCTCGTTTTTTTTTGCTCCTATACAAATATGCTACTGAAAAACATCAATTAATGTGAAATCATTACTTCCTAACTGAGGCCGGAGCCCCATGTCAACCATATGTCAGATATTAATGAGGAAATATTCAGATCCTTTACATAATGTAAACAATGACACATCCCTCACACTCTAGAGTAACAGAATATAAGCAGAAAGTACTCATCATGAAGTAGAATGTCAGTGTTATATCATCAACATATTCACCTGTTGCTGAGGTATTAACATGTAAGAAGGATTGAAGTTTTATTCTGCCATGTTCAAGCTTTTCTGCACTATTGGGTATAGTTAAACCTCTAACACTGTATTTTTTTAAGCAGACCACTTATTTTTAGATGTTAGATAATTATTTGTGATCAATAAATGATCATTAGTAGAAATTAAATAAAATAGTTGCAGCCTACTCAAGCAAAGTACAGGCGCCTTAAAATTGTAAACAGGAGCAGTGCTGTGTTTTTCCTTTCCACCACTGCTGTAAATATAATGAATTCAATTAGCATATTTTCAATATCATTGGAACTATCAAGTCCTAAAAGCTCTGTCTGTCAATCCCAGCTGGGTCTCGTCCCGTCCCGATCTGCCTGGTGATACGTTATGAAAAGCACTGGGTCATGATTATTAATATCTCTGTATTACACCTCTCTGGCAAGTGACACATGAGTTGTTTACAAACATGCTCTTTTATAAGGGAGTCGTCAGGGGAGTGTAACTTCAACCGCCAACATTTTTATTGGCGCACACGCGCACACAGACACGCACACACACGCACCCTTCCCTTTCTGTTTCGGACGCCACGCCCCCACTGAGCAGGGCTCATTAAAAGGCGGCAGTCCTCGGGCTGGAGGGTTAGTTCAAGACCTTTTGCACACAGGAGGACAGAGTGGGACTTTACACTGAGGGACATATATATATATATATATATTTAAATATACAACACAGATTTTTGGATCATCTCAAATCTGATTATTGGAATAATGAAGTCTCCAAAACTCAAACCTCAAGGTAAACAAAAGTTTGTTTTTTTCTATCCTGTATTTGTTTGTCATATAAGACTTGCTTGGTGCTGTTTGCCTTTACTATTTATAGGTTCATACTTAAATAACATTTATGTAAGCATGTAAATTACCTACAATATTCCGACAGGAAATAATTAATTAAGACCCTGCCTTTAAGGATTATATATATATATAGCCATAATATTATTACCACAGTCAAGTTATTTGCTGGTGGGTTTATTGTCAATCTCTGACTCGGCTGAAACTTTATCCAAAACAAACTTCTCTCTAAAATGAAAAGTAATTAATGTCATGTGTTTTTTTTGTTTTTTTGTTTTTTTTATTCTTGCAGCGAAGTTCGTCAACGAGGAGGATCTGAACGACGTGCTGTGCGAGTTCGACGCGGTGATGGAGGACTTCACGTCGCCGGTGGAGAAGCGACACTTCAGGTACGACGAACACCTGAAGACCATGAAGAGGAGGAGCAGCGCGAGCGTCAGCGACAGCGGCATCAGCGACTCCGAGAGTGAGTCCGTGATACATTATTTATGAGAGCTGTGTTATTCAGCAACATTGTCCTTCGCTCTCCTGCTGGGCTTTTGTTTTCCAAATGTGACAACAAAAACAAATCACATAAATACATTTGGGCGTGTAAACCAGGGAAGGTCTCAGAGTATGTATTTAAATTGGGCAATTAAAAAGTCCCCCGTAAGTGCAAACATGGCAACATGGAGATCAGGCACCTACAAATAATAGTGATGGTCTAAAGGACTTTATGCCCACTTTGCCATACAATTTAAACCCAAGCAGTCGGGCATATCACTGACTTTTTATCAAACAGACGCCTCATGTGTTTCATTTATGTTGCTTCTGTTACTCCTCCTTCTGCTCTGCTGCTCTGCAACACGTGTGTGTGTGTGTGTGTGTGTGTGTGCAGCTTCTTATCATGTGCCATCAAGAGCGCAGCAGGGGAGACTCGCAAACTGTTGCATGTGCATCCATGCACGTATGCTCTCATGCTCTCACGCACAATTACAGTAGAGAGAGAGCGAGCGAGAGAGAGAGAGAGAGAGAGAGAGAGAGAGAGA